TTCTAGAGGTGATTCCGAATCGAATGAGCTATCGCTCATATTTTTAGGACCTTTATCTCTATTTTTCATGTTTTTGAACTTGTTGATTAGACTATTGGCCTTTGTATTACATCACGAGGTGATCTGCTAGGTACACCCTCTCATTCCAAGCGGAAGATTGGGGTGGACATTTCTGTTCATCCCCAGCCACCGCCTTAGATAGAGGGGGAGCACTTCTGTCCAGCCTCGGTCCAGCCTCGGGATTGGTTTTTGTTGTTTCTGTTTTCGTGTTGGTCACCTCTAGCAGAGGTCCGCATTACCAGAGGTAGGCTGATTACAATGAGGTTTCACCCAGTTCCACAAGGAGATCGTTCATAACCGCATATCACCCTGCGGCCATTCAGCTGTCGGCACGATCCCTTACACCTGAGCTTGGGTAGGCTGGTCCACGGTGACATGTTTTGCAAAGGCTTTTGGGGAGTTTTAGTTTCCCTCACCATACTTATTTCTGCCACTGACCAGGAGTACGACGACCCCGTCCGTAAGGCCACATTGGCTTCCCGTTCCCTGCCTCCCGTTCCCTGCCACCTGGGGACGCGCCCGATAGGTAGCCCAACCCACGGGGGGGTTCATCACTTTACCTCCGAGACAACAGAACAATCAAAACAATGGACTGAAAAGGAAAAACCAGCTCCGAAGAAGGTGGAGACCTTTTCATTATGAAAACGGTATCGACATTATTGAATGTCACTGGGAAAAGGGTATAGAGCTGCAAGGAGTGTATTATGTTGAAAAATAAATAATGTTTTTTCATAAATTGTTGTGTTTTATTTGTTGGACCTGGTACTTCTGAGACCACTCTTGAGTCCAGGGCTGATATGCAGATGGTTGAACAATACTACGACAAGTAGGTTGTGATTTTGTTGAACTCTGAAAATCTTCACCAGAAAACGGACGTTGGAATTTTTTTTGGCAATACTAAAATCTAATTTTGCTACCAGAATCTGAAATAATTATCAAACAGATGTGTTACATGGTCATATACTGACTTTGTTAGATGGATTACTGTCTCCTTGGTGATGTCGAAAGGAATGTCAAATGCTTTTCCTTCAGCTGAAACCGTCACTGCCTGGTTCTCGGCGGCAAGTTTCAAAACTTCCTTGTTGCCTTTGGACCATTTGAAAAGCATACACTCTTGGCATTTGAAGGTTATGGCGAGACTTTGGAAGAGCTGTGGATCGGATAGTCTGTAAGACATTTGGCAGTTGTTGAGATCCATGGCAATCTCAATCTGAAAATGAAATTATGGATTTGTGAACGTGCAGATATCTCATTGACAACTATTTTTTGAATATCAGATACAATGTGTCTTTTTCCACTGTAGCTACTATCGAATCCTTTCTGGTTTGTGCTTTTGTTTGTGTTGATGATAATTGTACAGTTTTTTTCGATTCGAAAGTTGTGTTTTTGGTACTTTGTGTGAAATATCAACATACCGCGTCTACGTGCTGCTTCGCTTGCTTGATTTTGCTTTGTAACAGTTCCATGTTGTTTCTAAGTTTCTCCAGCCTGTTCGTTCTATCTTGATATTCATCTTCTCTCTCAGGCAAAACAGCTTGTGTTTGTAATTTCTTTCTGACATCTGACACATTACCGATGACGCTTGCTATTTCTAAAAATAAATAACCATGAAAGTACTTATTCTTTGTCGTTTGAAAACTCACCTTTTGGCACAGCAAGCTCAGCAGAATTTTGGTACTTCTTCAACAGATCGGTCAGCTTTTCCAGACTCATTTCTTCAAGTTCGCCCTGGATGCTTTCCATGTCTTTAGAAATCTTCGACATATTTTTCAAAGCTTCTTCCAGTTGAAGGACTATTTTGGTTTGAGATGTGATATCATCATTGATTCTGAGGACTATTTGAGTCAGATTGTTGTTTGCTTTTCCGTTTTTTGAAATACCGTATTTCAGCTCAACCAGTTTATTCTGTAGTTCGGACAAATCTACGGATATGTTGGAAAACCTCCAAGTTTTTCATAAAAACTCTAAATTCTGTTACTTACTTTTTGATATATCGGTCAAATTGCTTATCTTTTTCTTCAGCCTGTCAGAATAAGCATGAGCATAATCTGTTCTGTCATCCAGACCATCTGTGTTCTCTGGATCTAGAAGCGTAATCGCATTTTTCAAAACTTCTTTAGACTCTTTCATAGATGTCCTGGCTTCTTCGATACCGGCTATTATAGCTTCGTATGCTCCACTAGCGTTAATTTTTTTCCATTCATCTTTGGTGAAGTTGAATAAACTGTGGATGAGTTGAATGTTATATAAAATACAACTGAGAATTGATGAAATTCTATTTGTTGGGAACTCGAGCTACCAGTGAAAAAAATGTTCATCTACAAAATTGTTAATTCTATCATAACATTGAAAAATTTGTTTTGATGTCAATAAGGCTTTGAAAAAATCATGTTTGCTGTTTAATCAACCTCACGCTTTTTCAATTTAATATCCACTGTCAATACCTGAACGAGTTATTTTTGAAGAGATGAAATTTCGAAGATTGTGCCTCTCATTCACCAGATTTGTTTCCACAACATCGTACAGACAATATGAAACTTACAAGGACAATGTACAGTTCTTCAACTTTGTTAGTGTCCCTATTCTATGAAAGAAGGCGATCAAAAACATTTGAAAATCTTAGGAAATTATGTTTCAAGTAATTTCTGTGTTGTATTGCACCAATTCTTTATGCTACGTTTCGTCCCTGAACTGGTTTTCAAGCATCTACTCAGTTTGTAGTTTTAATGGATTTGATGAATTTACATACCAACAGTTTATTGCATGATACGTTAGGTAATTTCATCACTTTTAATTGCAGATAAAATAACAAGTTTTCACTTATGTAATGTTGAGCAATTTCGTGTACATGACTAAGCAATGTTGAATGACTAAGCAAAAGTACAATTTCAAACGCAGAAGAAACTAACCTGTGATACTCATTGACTTTGGCCTCCAATTCTTTAACGTGCTGCACGGCTTTAGAATAAATCTGTTGTATCTGGGGAATTTCCTTCATCTGCCTCTTCACTCTGTTCTCAACATCCTTGAACTCCTCAAAATCCGATACAGTTTCCAGGTCAGCATAGACTTCCGAAAGCTTATCCAGCATATCTGTTATGGCATCGCTCTTCTTGATGATATCGCCAACAGCAACTTCGTGATTTTCATTCTCAGTATTCAGTGTTTCGATTTTTCCTTTGAGCCTTTCTATTCCCTTAGCATTCTCGTTGTTTTTTGCTTCTGCTAGCTTTGCCAGATTTTCGACGAAGGAAATTACATCGGAAAGATCTTCTAGTTTCTTCTTGAGTCCTTCAAGCTTGTTCTCTGGTATATTTGACGGGCCTGTATACAGAGCGGCCACTTTTTGCGCAACTTTACTGCAGAACGACAAAGTGTCATTGCTGTAGTTGATGAATTTTTTCGAAGCCTCTTCAATTTTCTCCAGTATACCACGTGCTCTATCCAGGGCTTCTTCAAGACTCATTTGTTTCGTTCCAGAGCTTCCAAGGACTTCTATGATGGATACTAATTGTTCCCTAAGATCTTCAGTTTCTTCCAACAACCTGGTCGAGTTTTCAAGCAGCTTCTCACTTTTATGCAAATTGTTATTAGCCTCGATATTATTTCTATCCAGTTTCTTCTCCATTTGTGTTATTTTGGCTCTGTATCCTGTGAGGTTGGCTTTCTCTAGAAGCCTATCGAACCTTTCCAATCTGTCGTAGTGTTTTTCTGATAGTCCGTCTAATTTGTCAATTGTTTCGGTTAAGTTTTTCCAAGGAGGCCCCGTTCCGTTTTTGAACAGTTCAAAAACATTTTCAACATCTTTTTTTAGAATATCTACTAAGTCCAGAAGTTTCATGGTGCATTCGTCACAACCTGGAACCAATTTATTAGTTGTGAAGGCTAGCTTAAAAAGCTATTGAATGAAACATTGACAATAATGAAATATGTCTTCTGAGAAGAAAAATAATCTATTAACGGGAAAACATAACCAGCACAGCCTAGTAGGAATTATTCGAAGTTTCTGGAAGAAAACTTACGTTCACAAAATCCATTTATGAAATATTCTCTGTTCCCAGTGCATTGGTCACATTTGGCACCGTTGAAACCATTTCTACAGCGGCATTTTCCGAAATTGTTACAACTTCCTCGTGTTTCTGGTATAATCCCTAGCGGATTACATTTACAGGGTTCGCAGACTGTAGAGTTTTGTTTCCTGTAGAAACTGGTATCACATTTCTCACAGAAAATTCCGGTGTAACCTGAAAATTAATATAGTAGAGCTTGTCAAATGTAGGAAGAGCTCAGGATGTGGACTGTACTCCAGATCACTGAGCCTGCACAACCTGCACTGATAGCAGACAAACCCTATGAGCCTTGAACTGACAACGTGTTACCTCAGGGTTAGTACTAGAGTGCCACCAAGATTTAGCCAAAGCCTCGGTAGATAATAACATTATTCTGAGGTGGATATGAAGGAGATGTTTCCCAGTGACCTGTCCACCTTCCTGGAAAGGACAGGATGGACGATGACCTAGGAGGACAACTGATCGAGAGGATGTACAACGGGTCACATGTGGCCTAAGTGTTGTGGACGTACACTAATCCTCCCCACTGTACAGATACAGAGATGTAGGAAGAGCTTTCTGAATTACGGCTTGAGAGACAACTCTCAAGCCTCTTCCTAGATTTGACAAGCAGTATATTAATTCATTCACATTATATTAGTTCATCAATATCGAATATCAACCTATTTTTTATAATAGATACTGTGTGAACGACTTTTGAAGGAATACAAAAAAAAGAGTTTTAGAAACATTCATAAGTGTATTTTTACAACTCAAGATGTAAAAAATTATCTGAGGCTAGTTTTATCAGCTCGACTTGGATAGCATGGTTCGTGTGGCAATCCTATAGTTGGGTTAGGTTAGATCCAAAGTGAGTGTGTCTATACAACCCTCCACCGCAATCCTTGAGAGTTTATTGTGAGTCACAACTAATCACACTCGACCAAATGAACCAAATGATTAGTTTGTAAGGTGAGTTGTCTTTCAGGTCAGATGGTAAAAGTACGGCTCTGCCGAACTCTCTGCATATGATGTTCAAATTACAGTGACCTGTGAGAAGGCCTGTTAGACATCGTAGTTCATCCCTATTGTAGTCCAACAACTGTTTGGTATCAGGCTTGATGTGAACCAACAACTATCTGCTCTTAATATTCAATCCTATAGTATTCCTTTCTGTAACTCCTGTGTCTCCTTTGCCTTTTGTTTACTTGATACTTCTTTATTTTCCTTTATTTACCTTCCTCCTTTATTTATACAGGTTTTTGTAGCTTCATAGCTCAATAAATATTTAGTCTACTGTGTAGATGCTGTTCAATTTTTCAAAAAGCTGCGAAGCAGCCCTAAAAATCACCCAGGAATTTGGCAATGATAGTGTTAATGAACGAAGTGTTGCACGTTGATTTGCAAAATTTCGTTCTGGAGATTTTAGCCTCGAAGGTGAGCCCCGAAGTGGTCAACCAACAGTAGTAACCCAGGACGAGGATTTTAGGACTCCGGTGGAGGTTGACCCATCACAAACGGTGTGTGGGATGGCGGAAGAATCGGACGTCAGATCCCATGCGGTTTTTGATGGTTTAAAATGTATTGGAGACGCAAAAACGGCCATAGTCGACTTCATCGAATCCTCAGCATAAATTTTTATGCTGACGTTATTAATCGACCTATGGTTACGTTGGCAAACGTGCATTGATTCAAATGGTGCTTATCTAGATTGACTTGAATCAGCATTCACTGAAACAACTCTTGAAACGATAACCACTCCTTCAGCTGTATGAATTTCAAAAATGAAACTGCTTACCTTCTTTGCATTCACATCTGAAGGTTTCTTCCGTCTGGGCGCAACTTTTGGCGTTGTTTTGTTCAACAGAAGGGCAGAGACAGGGGGCGCAATTTCCATTTTTGTCCATGTAGAGTCCTTCAGTACACTTTTCGCAATGGTTACCTGTGGTGTTTTTGCCGCAGTTCTAAAAAAATAAAGAAGATGAGAAAGCAACCCCTTGAAACGATAAAGCGATTGAAACAGTCATCTGAGAAAGAGATAATCAATGACAGTCATGAATAGCGTGCTTTAAAATGAATGTGATGACAATTTTTGTATTTGAAAATAGGCATTTCTGGGTCTAGGAATAAGCACTACTTCCTACATTCAGTCTTTAGAACATCGTTTGAATACTCGCATAACAAGAAAAATTGTAAGCCTAGCACTGTTCTTCTAGGCACACCATTAGCCGACTAGTTGTTTAGAGCTATATTATTTGATCTCAACGCTTTTACTCAGAAGAAGAATAGAAGAAGCAGAAGAATATAACAGGAGAATAATGTTCGCAATTCAACAGATTTGTTATCCACAAATCTTTCTTGCTTGTTGAATGAAAAGGGAATGTATTCATTTCTCGTGAGAATTGACTGTGTCGTGAATATTTCAATCGAGTAAAGACCATTTCTCGCGAGTAGCATACTATACTTTTTCTGTGACTGTTTCGAAACAATCCCGAATGGAAGTATCATCATTAAATCTCAAAACAAGAAGCAATTGGAAAAACACTCAGAAATATATCTTATTTTTGTTTGATCACAAATAGTTTGGGAAATGGGTAGTGAAAAAATATGAAAGCTGCAGATGATGTGATTTGAACCCACGATCATTGGTCTTTAAGCTCGGAGTTCAACTATTTTTCCTTACAAATCAGTGTGACATGAAGCTGTTTGGTTTTTCAACTTTTGTATTAATTTGTTTTACGTCAGAAACTACATTTCTAGAAACGACCTGTTAGTTTAGTGATCATGTACAACGTTTGGATTTTGAAAGTAAATAAATCCTCATAATTTATATGTGAATGAGAACAATTTGAACACAACTGTAAGATACTCACCCAACAATAAATGGTCATTGACAAACTATATTTCTAGGATTTTGGCATAGCACAAGAGTTGTGTGAAACTCAAGAGAATATAGAGTAATAAAAAGATGTTTTTCATGTAATAATTCAATGGCGACTCGAAATACCTGGACAAAAACATTTTCAGGAAATTACCTTACAAAACCCCGTTTCTGCGTCACACTCACTTGAGTGCCCGCCACACTCGCATTTTCTCGCCACTCCTACGACTCGATCTATCCAGGAGCTCTGCTGATCCCTCGGAAAATATCTGTAGTAACCCCTATTAGGGTTTTGGCAGGAAAGTCCTGTATACTCCTTGGGACATCGACATTTTTCTATGGTGTGCGTAACTGGAAAATTAGTTTCCCCGCCACTGGCTTTGTCCAGCGTCACTTTCATTATCCTACACATGATTGATACTTCAGTTTGTCATTAAAAAAAGTTATTCGTCAACATCTTACAAAGTGATTCTTCATCAACCCACCTGCTATTAGCTTTGACTAGAATCCTAGTTACTTTCTGCAGAACCACCATCAAACAACTTCTGGTCAGACGATCTATACAGCTGTTAGGAAAATATGGATTCTTAGATGTCACTCGCCAATTTCCAGACTCCACCAACTGAAGCTTGTTGGAATTGCTCGCAGTTCGGAGTTCAACGGAGTTTCCTTCCAGCAAAATTTCGAAGTCTCTACCATCGGTGTCAACGACCAAGTTGCCACCATATGACGACGTGATATCCCCCATAAAGGTTTTTGGCAGCATCAGCTCATCTCCATTAACCTCAACAAAACAAACAACAAGAGAAATAGATGACATGTTTTATTAGAGGTGCTAGTATGCATTGTTTAATACTGTCTTTAGAAACATGCTTGGAAATTGAATTTTGAACATCCAGGATATGAATAGATGAAGCTTCTCTACTGCTGAAGCTAGACTTACTTCATTATCATCTTCCAAACTTCTCTTCATCCTTGTGATTTCATTCCAGTGGTGTATTGCGTCCTCACATTGGGTGGTTCTTCCAAAGCAGAAGCAGTTTGAACAACCTGCCGGATTTTCTTTCGCCAAACCGTAGTTGTTCATTTTGCATCTGTCGCAGTGTTTGCCTTGGACGTTTTCCTGTCGAAAAAACAACTTGAGTTCGTACATAAAATAACGTATTACATGAAGCTGAGTTGATTCACACTCACACGAGACAGATTTTGGGTTCTAACTAAAGTCTAAATTCATAACCTATGAGCACAGAATATTACAGGAGTTCTCTGTCAAGATGGTTGTTCTGATTATTGAAGTCCTTAGTGGAACGATGCTCTCTCTGCTCTTGAATCTCAAAATCATAGCGGCTTGCCGCACTAAGGCAGAAATCTTAGCAGGACAGATGGAGAAGGCTGTCATTCTTGGTTCACTGCGCTTGCTAGTTTCATACGTATATTTTAATAGATTACAGAGCTAGTTGCTGGTACACAAAAGGGTGGAATTCATCTCAGTTAACACAAGTGCTACTGAGTTGTTTTATAGTGTTTAGACAATAACCAACGAGTATAAAACTTGAAGAAATGAATGAAGAGACATTCTATATAGTATGGCTGTAATGTTTCACAAAATCCTAATAGACTCCACTCAATATGCTTCATTCAGTTTCCTGAATGATTAGACTGATTAGATGGTCGAGAAGGCCAAAAACCTTCTTCAGAAAGAGCTATAAACAAAAATATCCCGAGATTTTACTGTATCGATAGAAACTAGGTCTTGAAACCACAGCACAAAAGGATGTTCTGAAGATTCAGCCACCCATAGCTCTACAAGATTCTCACTTCCAGTCATTTGTGTTGGGAGACGAACTCTACACGCTAGATGATGGATCGTCTCTACGGCATGGAATTAAGTGAAATGTTAGCTACTGAAGAAGCCAATGTGGAGCCCTGACTCTGTTTGTGATACGTTGAAGATATGGAATCACAGCTACACAGAACTCCTCGATAGCGATACTTTTCATAACATTCACGATAGTGAACTTCAGTTCCAAATTCAACCACCAACAGGGTACCAAAACAATATTAGAGCCTGATTCATATTCGGGCACACCATCTGCAGCAGATCCACTAATACCAAGTCAGCAAACGTGGACAATGACTCCATGAGTTGTATTCGATGGATATCATAAGAAAAATAACCTAGCGAGGGAAAACGCATGTAACGGGTGATTTATAAGAGGTATAGGATTTGATTTTCAAAACACAAAAAATTTTAAAAAATTGATGAAATCTTTATTGGAAAGATCAATATAATTTGATGTTTGAAGATGATTTCATGCAAATGTTGTCCGCGGCTCTGCTTCAGATGGCCCATGCGCAAGGTCCAATTTTGGCACACTCTCTCTAACATATCGACCGGTATTTCACGTATAAATGCTTCAATATTGACTACCAGAGCGTCAGTCGTTGCTGGTTTATTTCTGTAGATATGAACCTTAACATGACCCCACAAGAAATAACACAACCAGCTGTATCTTATAAGGTTTTATACCCAAATCCTTTCGCAAAATTTTCCACGTAGTGGAGTAACAGAGGCCCAATTGCTGCGAACGGCGGCGAATCGACATTTCACGGTCATCACGAACACTGGCGGATACAGCCGCAATATTTTCTGCGGTTCTCACTCTACGTATGCTTGTTGGTGGTTTAATGTCCAATAATTTAAACTGGGTTCCCTCAGAAGCCCGACGAAACTGCCCATATATTGGAAGAAGTGCACGATGCACTTTCTTTACCGAGCATGAATTTTGTTGATAAAATTCAATAATTTGCAAGCGTTGTTCATTCGTAAATCGATTCACTGTTAAGTTTGACAATAATACAAGACACGATTCACGCGTGATCTGTCAAAAACAGTGTTGCCAAAAAGATACCAGCAAAAAAACACTCATTAGTTAGTTGGCATGTAGTTATGACATTACTGACGATCACAGTTGGAAACAATCGAACAAATTCAATTACCTACTGCTGCAAAAAAACCCTATAAAGTTATACATGACTTGGACAATTCAGTTGTTGAATATGTCATGTCACCTAAAGATATTGAGTTCAGATTCAATCTACCAGAGGATCTACAGATGAAAAAAAAAATGATTAGATTCGTTAACAAAATGAATGAGGAGGATTTGTTGAACCATTTTCACATAATATACGAGGTATTGCACATTTGTTCGATTACTGCTATCCTAGTCTTTTCTTCATTTTCACAAATTCACCAAAGACGTTCGCTATTGATGGCTGCCAAACAAATACTAAACAACGCAGCGTCTTCAAACTTGAAACATATGCTTTATGAATGGTGTACTTTCTGATACAGTGATATTCTCGAAACAAACGGTGACAGAGTTGTGATCAGCTCGTTCAGTGTAGAAAGCTGACACGAGTCCATGTTTCGCTCGGCTGATTATTAACCAGACATTTAATAGAATAGAATAGAAATAGAATAGAAATTTATCTATACTGAACAACAAACAGAATGGTTTCCACTTACATGATGTACAGTTTTATCGAAAGTTCCTTACATATAGTATTCATTGAATACCATTGATACAGTTAAAATCTATATAAAATATTACAATATAAAACAGTACATAAATAATAAAATGGTCGTAAAAATATTCAGACAAATTTGAGCATTCGGAGGAGTTGTCACTCTGTAATACTGAATATATCCAGTTCACAGTTCCTCGCCATTTTGTTAACTGTTCCAAATGACACAACCATATTCCAGCTTAGAACGAAAAATGGAGTTAAAGAGTAACAAACAAGTATCGTGATTGAATTCACGGCTAGATCTTAAGATAAAGCTCATTTCTCTATAACATCCAGATACTAAGTATTCAATGTGCCCAGAGAAACTGAACACCCCAGTAAAAATGATCCCGAGATTTTTCATCTCATTTATTCTCTGTAAATTGGTTTGATTAATGAAATAGTCCTTGATAGTGGGTGACTTCTTTCGTGTGAAACTCTTCATTTCGCATTTAGCTTCGTTGAGAGATAGGTCAGATACTGAAAAGTAAGTAGATAGATTATTGAGATCATCTTGAAGCATATTAGAATCGTTTTCGCTTTCAATTCTTCTAAACAGCTTGAGATCATCGGCATATAGGAGAAATTGAGGATGCCCGATATACCGAGCAATGTCATTAACAAATAACACGAAGAGGAGAGGTCCCAAAATCGAGCCCTGCGGAACTCCCGAAGTAGCGGTGAATTTGAAGGAAGATACGTTGTTAAACTGTACGAACTGTATTCTGTTGGATATATAGCAGTGTAAGAAATCAAGTGTGTTGTTTGTGAAACCGAATGCNCCACCATCGGTATTCATATCATTATGTTTACTTATTTCTACACTCTCATAGGCATCTAGACGTGTTCCTTGTATCTTAATTCAATAGATCTTTTTGTCTGTCCATAATATTTTGCATCGCAGTCCTTACATTCAATTTCGTAAATTCCAGACTTTTCCGAATTCTCTACTTTGTCATTTGGACAAAAATATTGTAAAATAATAGATACGGCAAAATTGTTAGTTAGTATACCTGTATGGGGTGGTATTCATGCATTAATTTCCTTATTCCAAATTTCAATTTTTTCAGTTGACCTGTTCAAAAAATAAAAGGGGGAGGGTCATTGAAGACATGCACTGTATATTCATATTCAAATATTCTTGGTCCAATTGAAAAGCAAACTATATTATAAAATATGATGCAAAGTGATCTTTCTTCCTGAACAAAATTATGGGATCTAAAAACAAACAAATTTCGTTAATTTTCCAAAATTTTATCAGTGTTGTTGTTCCTTCATTTACTTCTTCCCTAACCAAAAACTTTGAAGAAAATAGCATCTGTTTTTTCTTACTTCTGCAGCCGGTTTCAACAGTTCCATAATGGTGTGGTAGACAAGAATCACAAAGGTAACCAGTCACCCCAGGTTTGCAACGACACCTCCCTGTATTCCTGTCGCAGACCGTGCCTCTAGAAGTTCCATTTTTGTTACATTTGCACTCTACACACCTTCTTGATTGTTTCCAATATCCATTCTGGAAGACAGACACACCATTTATGTCAAAGAGTAAACTTTATCATCACTGAAAAAGAACTTCAGAAGTATGCTGGCTGCGTCAAAAATATTTGTGAAGGTGTTCCACAAGACTCTGTCTGTGCCTCTGCCAGCCTGTTATTGTTTTTTTGTGATAACTTTCATTTTGCATAATTGAATGAGTGGGTAACCAAAAACATCGCTCGTTTTTCGAGAAAGGAACACCTAGACGTGGCTTACAGAAAATATGATAATTAAAGCAAATTTATTAGAAATTATAGAACAAGAAATATGATGGATTTGGCTGATTCATCAAAGAATACTTTATTGTGAGATTTTCACTGAACAGTTTCACAAGAACGCAACACGTGTTTCGCCATACAATGGCTTCTTCGGAAGTGTCTTTTAGACACGCCGCCTTTGCTATCAGTGATATCAGAACTCATGGAGAAAGTTTCACTAGTTCGGACTTCCATTGTCTATTATAAAAATGATTTGAAATCCCTGAAACAAAAAAAGAAGAATTGAAAATGAATGGCTGAAAATAACAATTATAATAACCCAAAATAAACATGAAATGAANAAACCCAACATTTGAAACATCAATTTGAATACTTTCCGAAGTGGATTTGAAAAACTCATGAATTGAACTCAACTTCATTTTGTTCAAACTTGCATTTGCTGTAATAACCCAAATTGAGGAACATTCCCCATTGTCTCAACTTCATCATGCTCAAAAAAAAAGTTACAGGGTTATTCTGAAGACTGTCAGGCAGTTCTGAGGGTTGAAAGAAGCTCAGATTTCAGGACTTTTCATGTTCAAATCACCCTGTACAGAGCCGGGATACATTTCTATCACGTTTTAGTCGATATGGATCAGTTCTAAGCAAAGAACAAACGGCGATCGACTGAGAGGCGTGATTGGAGAAATCTTTGAAGATCGAAAAAGCTAGTTGATTCCGTCTTAGATGATTTCGATCTGTAGACACGAAGGAACGGTAATCTACAATTTTCAAAGGAGGCTCTGAGAATATATA